ACACTTATAGGTATAAATATCAACTGTTACAGCCATGTATGGAAACCAAGATGCAGGTTCCTAAGAAAACTGCAACTGGAACTACCATGCAACTCAGCTGCACCACTCCTGCATCTACTCAGAAGAACATGAGGTGGTGAACCTCAGAGTGATGTGCACATCTGCATTCCTGTCTGCACTGTGCACCATCACCAAGATGTGGAACAGCCTTAGTGCCATCTGCAGATGAGAGGAGAAATAAAATGCTGCCTTATTCAACCATCAAGAAAAATGATTTGACTTTTTCGGGAAAATAGGTAGAACCGGAGAACATCAAGTCCAGCAAAATAAGCCAGAATTGATCAAATACTGCGTGTTTTCTATTGTGTATGGAATTAGAGTCAGATATGCATACATAGGAAAGTAGACATGGGCTCCTAAAGTGAGAAGAGACTCTAGAGGGGTGAGTGAGAGGAAGAAGAAGAATGGAGATGTAAGAAAGACAAGATGCAGCACTTTTTATCTGGAGAATCTAGACTTGAGTTATGTATGTACATATTAGTGTTTTCTTACATTTAAGGAAAAAATCAAATCACTTCCTCTTGGAGTCATTTAATCAAGAGGGAATTCATCTTTGAATGTTCTACTTCATGCTTCCTGTGCCTTCTGTCCTGTCTGTCTGTCTGTCACATGTGTACTTGCCTGAAGGCTGTCTTGTGAATCTGTTTATCCCTGTGTCTGTGTGTGCCACTGTGTATGTCTGTCCCTGTGTGTGGGTGGTATCTGTTTGTGTATATGTTTGACACTATGTGTATCTGTTTTCGTCTGTCTTTCTGTCTGTCTGTGTGTCTTCTGTCTGTGGGTTAGTGGTGTCTGTATCTCCTTATGACAGAGGGCTTCAGTCTGTATGTAGAGAAAGTATCACATGGGGAAAGGAAGGGGGTATTTTATAGAAATCTTTCTTTTTTTTTGAGGGGTGGGGTGGGGTGGGGGGTGGTTTCAAGTCAGGGTTTCTCTTCCTATCCTAGAACTTGCTCTGTAGATCAAGCTAGCCTCAGATTCACAGAGATCCACGTGCCTCTACCTCCAGAGTGCTAGGATAAAAGGTGTGAGCCACCACCGCCTGGCCTTTATAGAAATCTTTTTTTGCACGGGATTAAGTCACTGGCTCCAGTTGACCCAGACAACAGATACTGTTTAGCAACCAGTAATCATAAATGGTTGATTTTGACCTTCATAGTAGATTTTAAGAAGTTGCTTTCAGTTTCTGTATTTGCTGCTTTTAGCAAATGATGCACGTGCATCATTTGGGTCAAGGGTGTGGAAGAGTACATAATTTAAGATTGCAGCCATGCATTAGCTTAGGTTGTAAAAGCTGATTACATGGGGAATCCAAGGCAAGTAAGATTGGTTGTCACATTGTTCTCTTAAAGACAGATTAAGTAAACAGACTGAGTACACAGTAAGAGAACAGTCTTATGTGACTTCAAGATGTATTATTAACCTGGCTGTAAGGTCCAGCAAAAAATTTAGTCTCTTAGAATGTAAAAGAGATTTTCAGAATATTGCATTGCCGCAGAGGACCATTTGGGAGCAGGGAAGGGACCAGTGAGAATAAGGAGCAAGAAAGAGGGATAGGCATCAGAAAGCAAAACCTAGTTTTAGTTTTCTTTTGGGAATTAACCACTTATTCTTATGCTGCAGTCCTCTGAGAGCAAGGCTATAAAACACAGGAGGCTGCCGTTTACCCGAGTTCCACAGCTCTCCAGACTACCTGCAGTGTATCCCCTGAGTCCTCCAGAAGGTGCTCTTGTTTTGTATGAGATGCTCCTTCAGACCGTGAATAAGAAACACAGCCTTTTAAAGACAGTCTTTACTTTTCTAGGGTCACTTTGCTTTCTTTTCTTAGTCTACAGCCCAAGCTCATAGGGCAGACATATGTAGAGAGTCTCAGCCATTCTACTTGTTCACCCAAAGACAGTCTTCTGAACTTGCCTGAGTTTCTCTGTGTATAAATTATTTTGCATGGAATATAAATTGGAGAGAATAAAAACTCTTAGAGAAGTAATAACTTACTTGTAAGTAAAATCACCACCTCCTCCAAAGGCACATATTCTTTTTGTCCTCTGATTGGCACTTGGCATCAATCTGTGCAGTAATCTCTGGGCTCACTGACTCTCTTGGTTCTTCTCCTGTCTCAAAAGCTGGTAACTGCCAAATCTAACCAAAACATCTCAGGAAGTACAAATTTAAATACCTCTGTACCTACCTAATAGCCCAGCTGATTTTCTCATGGGCATTTCTAACTCTTATCCCTAACTGAACTTGTCTTTTTCTTTGTATCACCAAGTCAGCATTTGCTGCTTTTATATGTAACGTTTAATAAACGATGTTACTAAATATTAAAGAAGAAAACACATGTACTCTTAAATCTCTTCATACTTTGTAAATCTAACTACCAAGCCCTGCTGACTTTTCATCTCCTTTCTTGCTGTGTCTGATTTGTTCATTTGGTATCAGTATCTCCTGCAGCCTCATTATTATTTTCCTGCCTCTAGTCTAATCCCTCAGTCGACTATCCAATATGATTGTTTTCTGAATTGAAATCGTCACTGCGTTTTGTCACTGGGCTGCATCCCTTCCAGATCCACCCAGAGCCACTCCAGCTGCATCCTCTCACAGTCAGGCCCGTGTAGTCTGTGTGTTCTGTGCCCTTTGGCTCCCAGGTAGATCAGTGTTTGATACGTGTTCCTAGTCCCATCTTTCTCTCTGTTTCTTTTCTATCTGTCAGAGATTGAATCCCAACAAACACCTTTTATTTTTCATATCTTTTCAGCATGACATGGTAGTCCCCATGTGATGCCACTGTACTCTGTTGGAATGTTTAAGTTACTATCATGTTTCATCTGTATCACTAGACTGCAGACTGGGTCACACACACCTGTGTGCTTATTATCTTGACAGATTAAGGCCTGCAGGTGACATGTAGAAATTTAATGAGTAAGTGTTCCCCTTACTCTTTTCTTATTGGCTTCAATTATTATGAGCCATGACCATCTATCATCCGTGATTTTAATTACCACTGAAGCATGTGTAGTATACCTACAGTTATTATTTGGAGTGTTTACCTGATGCTAGTCGGCATTTGCACACCAAAACCAAAACCCCTCAACTAAGCCCTGCGCTCCTCCACAGATTAATCAGCAGTTGGGCAGCACTTTTCCGCCTGAGCAGCACAGATGCTCTGGCTTACAGATCTCTGGTGTGTGGTCCACCCTGTAGGATGCTTAGCAGCATCACTGTCATCTGCTTCTAGATACTGGTGACACATTCCTCCCCGCTTCTTGGTCTCCAGACCCTGCCAGATTTCTCCAGGAGTACAACTACCTTCAGTAGAGAATCACTGCCATGGGCTTCTCCACAGAAACCTACCTTGTGAATTGCCTAATTGTTCTGCCCTGTAGGAATCACCTGTGTTCTTGCTCTATTCCGTCTGGTGAGGAGAAAAAAATCTGATGATATTCTGATTTTTAAGGAAAACAAAAAAGGTTGTGTTGGCTTGCTCTTGACTTTGTGAGTGGCCTGGCTGCTCCCTGATATCGCTCACCTTCTCTGAGGGCGCATTTCACCACTAACCCTTCTGACAGAGTGACATGCTCGAGGGGTTGGAAGCTTTCAGTGCTGTGTTCCACATATTTTAAGCTTATGAGTCATAGCTGAAAGTGTTGGGGGAGAATCAGACTTCTGTTATGTGTGGTCCGACTCTGATACAATATGAAAACTATTAGTCAAAAATGTATCTCACTTCATCTCCTCAAATGTCTTTGTGTCAGTTTCCCTGATTTTGCTTCTCTTTCCTTTTTTCTCTCAGACGATTCATGCTCTTATGGGGAATGCCATCCAGCCTTTACTGACTTCAGTGGCAGATGCGATCGAGGCCATAATCATCACCATGCATCAGGAAGATTTTTCTGGGTAAAACATTTCCTCGGAACTGTTACTAGTCCTCGCTGCCTTTATTTTCCATTCCCTACCCCTCCTACTCTCTGTGTTCCTTGGCAGCCAGGCTTTATTCTCGTGACAGCATAAGCTCCTCACCTCCTTTTCATTGTGCATGTTATTACCACCTTCTCTCTGTTCTTGTTTCCATCATCTCTCTTCTTGTTGAGACAGAACAGGTTTGTGGACTCCACTCGGTGCTTCAGGATAATGTAGCGTGTGCCAGCTTCCTCTTCCTGTTTTCCTTCCTTCTCACAGATGTCCTCTTCTTTACCTGTGTGGTCCCCTGCACAGTCGTGACATTCCTCTTGAGGACTCCTCTGACTCCAGCTTTGGGAGCAAGCTCCCTTAGTCCTCTAAGACCCCTGTTCCTCTCAAAGTCCTCATCGTGCTTTATGTGAGGAGAGCCTGACGAATGAGAGCTTATGTGGGGAGAGGAGGCAGTGAGATAAGGCCTGGACCTTTGCAGGAATGGCTGAGTCCCTCTAAGGCAGCGGTTCTCAATCTGTGGGTCATGACCCCTTTGGGAAGTCAAATGACCTTTCACAGGGGTGGCCTAAGACCTCAGAAAACACAGAAGTTTACATTATAATTCATAACAGTATCAAAATTACAGTTATGAAGTAGTAACAAAAATAATTTTATGGTTGGGGTCACCATAACATGGGGAGCTGTATTAAAGGGTCACAGTGTTAGGAAGGTTGAGAACCACTGCTCTAAGGAAAGATAATGCATACAAAGCTAGTGATAGGAAGATGCACATCTACCAATTCTTAGTTGTATGTATTCTTAATCTTCACTTCACCTTCAGCTCCTGTATAGCACTGTTGTTTTGAAGACTCTGGAGTACCTACACAGTTTGTTGAGAACCTGCTATTCAAGACTTTAAAGTACTTGGGAGAATTGATCTTTAATAGCCAAGTCTATTTGTATTCTAGTAAATTTAAATCAAACTTTTAATCCTCAATGAGATTTATAATTTGTATCTCATATTTTATCTGAAGTATAATTTCCCTTACACCAGCACATGCTTCTGGAACTTGTTCTAATATGCTGTTTTCTATGAACACACTCCTCCAGAGTAATAGGAAGATTTTTGTGATGTTGGATAAAGTATGAAAAGATTTGAGAGGCCAAGTGGATTTGACCTTCACATGAGACTCAGCTTTAGGAACATACATAAAGTAAAAACAAAGGGATGGAAAGATACTCTATGCAATGGAAACCAAAAGAGAACTGGAACAGGTGTAGTTAATCAAAAGTCAAAAATTGTAAAATGTAACTCAGAGATCATTATAAAATGATAAAAGCAGTCAATTCATTAACTGGATTATATATATATATGTATATAAATATATATATATATATATATATATATATATATATATATATGCATCTGGTATCAGCGCACCTAAATATAAACAGATATTTAAAGAATGTGGTTGCCACAACACAGATGAACCTGGAAGACATATTATATAAAAGTAAGCCAGACAGAAAAACCAAATACTTCATGTTCTCTTTTTATATGTAGAGCCTAAAATGATAAAAATCAGAAAGTAGAATAGTGGTTACTAGGGCTTGGAAATTGGAATAATGCATTGATGTTGGTCAAATGATATAAAGTTATAACTAGATAGGAGGAATAAATAAGAATTTACTGTAATTGACGTGTTCATTAGTTTTTTTTATGTTTTCACATTTTATACATGTTACTGTATATCACTATATGGCACAATTATATGTGTTTACTGTTCATCCAGTAAATAAATAGATATGAAAATACTCTATTTTTTTGCAACTTAGCCCTTCATACTGGTGCCTGAACAAAAATAGGCCATGTGGTGATCTGAGTCTGGCAAAGTCAAATCCCATGTGGCACTTGCCATCACTGACCAAGGCTTCTCTGCTCAGGCAAGTACACCACCCTGGCATCATTCAGAGCCTGGGCACGCTGTACTGAATACCTGGTGCTGACATTGCTGCTATTAGGCAAGTCTTTCTGATATCTTACACCCTTTTCTGGCAGAACAAATGCCCTCTTTCCCTGTTCCTATCTGCTTCCAGAAGTGGAACACCTCTGTTTATAACTGCCATTGCTGTACTTGAAGGTCATCATCTTACTTTGCTCTCTTCCTCAAGGAATTTCAGTCATGCCTGTTATTCGTCTCTAGACCATCTCCATTTCCTCTACATCATACTCAGAATTTGGAAACATTTCCCTTGCTTTTTGGAAAAGATTCAGCATTATGTAGTCAGTGATCTCATCTATTAGCTAGGATCAGGTGATGTCTAATTTTGGTCCAACTCCTTCCTATAAATATTTCATATTCTTTGACTATATTCTTTAAAGGGCAGTTGTAAACATTTATAAGTTATAAATAGTGTATCATGGAGCACAGCTGGTATCATCTGCTCTTCCAAATTAAAGCCTTTCCAAACCCCCTCATCTGGAGGGAAGAAATTGCATGCTGCATATTGTTACACAACCAATCCCTCTGTCACAGCGCTGCTATTGGACTGATGTGATCAGCTACAAGAGCAGAGATTGCCACCAAGCAGTTTCTGCCCTTGCAAAGTGTAAAATGTCATTTCAGACAAAAACATGGGAATGTATGGAGACCCTTGAAAGGCCAGAGTGTAATTTACCTAAGACAGATAGTTGTCTTTTATTCTTAATAAATTTTAAGTAAATGCATGCTGAAATTCCTTCAGTCATCCTCATAGGATCTAAACACTAATTTAAAAATATAATTTAAGTGAGCCGGGTGGCGCACACCTTTAATCCCAGCACTCGGGAGGCAGAGCCAGGAGGATCTCTGTGAATTTGAGGCCAACCTGGGCTACAGAGTGAGCTCCAGAAAAGACGCAAAGCTACACAGGGAAACCCTGTCTTGAAAAACCAAAATTGTGTGTGTGTGTGTGTGTGTGTGTATGTGTGTGTGATTGAAGCATTGTTTTATGTTCTTTAGCACTTAGCAAAACAAAACAAAATAATGTTTTTATACTACTAATGGGAAAATTTGTACAAGATTGAAATAGTAACCAGGGGTGAAAATATACAAGATTGTAGCTTTATGAATTGATGCTGTGAATATTTTTTTCTTTTATAGGTCATTATCCAGCTCAGGAAAGCCTGATATTCCTTGTTCTCTATACATGAAAGAGCTACAAGGTTTCATTGCCAGAGTTATGAATGACTACTTTAAGCACTTTGAATGTTTGGATTTTGTGTTTGACAACACTGAAGCTATTGCCCAAAGAGCCATTGAACTTTTTATCCGCAATGCCAGTCTTGTAAGACCTCTTGGTGAAGGTGGGAAAATGCGACTTGCTACTGATTTTGCACAGGTAAATTGATGCATTGCTCCAAGGGAGGATCACTGTCTTCTATTATGTAATGAATACCTAAAATGTCAGTATCTTACCTGTTTATGCAGCATAAAAAGAAAAGAAAACCCACTTGAAACTAATTTGCTACATAGAAGAGTTTTAAAATATTTTACCAGATTTTATTTTTGTCCTTTCTTTTTAACAAAATTGTCATCTTTGATCCTTCAAGAATAAGGCAGAGTATCTTATGCCACCGTAAAGCAACAATTCACATTCTTGCTATTTTATCATCCAATACAGCCATAATAATAATAATTGATTGACTTTACTCAAAAATGTTGTAGCAATGAGATGCCTTTTCAAACAGCCAGAAAGGGGCAGCCTGTTGTTCTGAGAAGAGGAAGAACTCTAGCCCATCAGTGTCTTCTAGAGCATCTTTGTCTGCTCAGTGAGATGGGCAGGCTGCCTGGCAGATCCAGCCTGATTATTTGGACCCTCCACTAAGTACAGTACCCTTTTCCTCTGTGGCTAGCCTTCAACTTACGCTATCTGATTTTCCCCCTTTACCTTTCAGTAATCAGAGGCAAAGAAAAAACACTTGAAGCACCCAGTTTCCTTAGAAGATTCAGAAACAGTTTATATGTCAAGGGTGAATCCATTTCTTAAACCTTTCAAAACTGTTAGCTTTACTGATCTAAATAGTTATTCAGATGGAGTCTTCATATAAGCCTGCCAGATCCTCCTTGCTTATAAAGATAAATGCTAATGTCAGTGTGTGTCTGGGAGAGGCCCTGAACTGCCTGTTCAGGGTGATGGCTGCCAGATGCTCCCATGCCCTAGCACACATACAACACAAACAGCAATCCCAAACCTGGCTTTCAAAAACCATTCTCTTTCTTATTGACCCAGCAGTTAGTTATTTTCATCCCCCAAATGATGTCTGTGAAACTACTGTGGCATACAAAAAGAGCCTTCCTTTGGGAAAGGTACCTTTAGTAGCCACATGTGAGAACAGAAATAATTAAATGCCTGTTAATTTGGCTTAACCTTGGCCATTTTTGTTGCCTTTATTCTGTCTGTGAATAATGACTTACAGAAACAGTTGTGTCCGTGTGTCCGACAACCTATTGTAGTCCTTAAACATATCGTAAGCTGTTCTCCAGTGGGTCTGTCCTGTCTCCGCTCCTCCTAGGTTTTGTTTTTCTTCTGTCTTCCTCCCTCTGCTGGGCTCCCTCCAGCACCAGCTCATTTGCATTCTTCTCCAGCTGGTTCTTGAGTCACTTTCCTGGAGGCAGCACTTCAAGTCCAATTAGAGTGGCAGCTGAGCAGGAGATGGCCAGAAGGAGAGGGCTGGAGGAGAGAGGCTTGCCGCTTGGGCTTTTATTTTAATGGTGTCTTCTCTCGAAAGATGGCACACTCCTGCAGCTGGCGCCCCAGAGTGTACAACCTCCAGTGGCAGGGTGAGCTCCCACCTGCCCAGAGCTGCACACAGCACTCAGAGTCGTGTTTGCCGTCCTGTTTCCTTAAGACACATTACCTTCTGAAACCATTTCCCCTTAAGATAAGTGGAACTCACTGCTCTCTGTTACTAACTTGTGTGTAGAAAAGGCACACACTGTGCTGAATGCGCTCCAGCCCTGCAGTGGGCTGAGGTGCTGAGGCTCAGCACCTGTGGCCGACCCTTGTTTGCTCCTGCACAGTGTGTCCCAGTTTTAGAAGATCCCACCATTCCTCTTAGCCTGGCTCAGGTCTTAGCCACGGGTGCAGGAAAGACATGTTAAAGCACTCTATTTGTGGCCAATAATGTTAGCAAACATTTCCCAGGTACTAGGAAATGGTTGCAACTCCGTTTTTGTTTTCTTTCTTTCTTTTTTTTTTTTTAATTAAAATTTGAATTGGGGTTTTGATCTCACTGGGTTTTGTTTCTTGCCACAGCTGCAATTATGTGTTGAACTTGAGCTTTCAGAGTCCTGTTTAGTGGGAAATGTTTTGTCTGGGTTAGTCAAAATACTAAAATAACATTTCTCTGAAATTTGTATGCCTGACAGGCATCAGCTGAGGACTATAGCCTTTGAACTGGCTCATTGTTGAAAGGTTTATCAATTTGTAATCACAATTAAACAAGGCCACTGAGGTTACTGGAATCCAGAACACACAATTCTCTGTGGGTTTGAAAAGGGTCCTTGAGATGAAAGAATCTGCTGTTTAGCCATAAGCAGAGCTCAAGAAAAGATCAGCAGAAAGAATCTGGGAAGATTTTGACATAACATTTAGACATAAAGACAAATAATGAAGCATTTTAAGTGTTCTTTAAACAATTCTAACCTCCTCAGGGGCACCTGTGCATAGGAAAAGCAGTTGCAGGCTGCCATCTGGAGGGCTCACAGTGAGGGAAGTGCCTTCATACAGCCCAGTGGAGAATTAGGTCATGAGCATGCGGTGGCTTCCTGCAGGTAATTAATTTCCTGCTGTGACCACATGGCCTCTGTGTCTACACTAATCATACAGCAGTTCAAAAAGCCCTGAGCTTGTCCAAGGCCCACAGGCCTCCGCTGGTTCCCACTCACGCAGACATGCTCACGATGCCCCTGCTGTAGCACCGGCTCCCCCTCTGCCCCACTTGTCTCTTTTTTTCTCTGAGGGAAAGGATAACTATTGAAGTTGGAATTAAATTATTTAGTGGTACTCGTAGCAATTTCTATTCATAAATTTTCCAGTACCCTTTAAATACACACATTTTTATCTTTCCCACATTGCCCAAAGATGTAAAGTTAGAAAAGAAAGCAAATTTCTCATTTTGGTTCTGATTCCTCTTGCCTTTTCTTATCTTGAACATTGTCAGGGCAAGAATGCCTCTGAAACATCTAGATGAGCCCTGTGGTTAACTAATTCCTGGTGGACACAGAGCAGCAGCAGGGCAGGGAGCAGCCTAGGTGCCTGTCACTGAGTGTCCATCTGGAGCTCTGCAGACTCCTCTAACAGAACACTCCCTCTTTAAACATGAACGTCATTGTTTAAAGGGAAATGATTTTTCAGTCTCCTAGGGGTCCTTTTTAGACTAAAAATTCATCTTCAACATTTAGCCTTTTGAAATCGCCCTGTAGTGTAGAAATCTTATATGTCATCATGGAGTTCACAACCATTTGGGATGATAATCTCTCATATAGGACTTTACCATTGCTATTTAATTATTTTAACATTTAGTCTCACTCCAGGGCTAAGTCAAAGGTTATACGAGCTTGGAAACCCTTATATGCATACCACAGTTAGTTTACATATTTATAATTACATATTTATTTGTGTTCAATGTAAAATAAATGTTCCGCTCAGAAGAAAACCAGAACTCCCTGGCAAGGGAATAAACTACCCAGGGCTCCAAGAGCAGCCCATCGTCCCTGTCTTTTGTTGAGTAGTTGGTTCCCAGCATCGTGTTTGGTTTGTCAGCAAGAAGACTGGTGTTTTTTTTTTAGAATTATGTTTGTTTAGGCTTGTGTAGTTTAGAGTCTTCTAACCATGTAAGATGTTATTGTGTTATTGTGAACCTCTGTACCAGAAGAGATGTTGCCTTGTTAGCTAACACTGAAGCATCTCAGGGAGCTGCCCTGCGGTTCGCAGAAGGCACAGGCATTCTCAGTGGCACTTTCATTTTGCCTAATAGTAATTGATATGCATATGTGCATTTATTTCAGTAACACAATTAACATTCAACAAAATCGTAAAGATATGTGGGCATGTATATTTGTGTCTGCATGTACACATTTACACATGTTTTGTTATTGTAAAGGTGCATTTTTTTAAAATCCCCTTCACTAAATTTGAGAATTCTTGAAGGAAAGACTTCTACTTCTCCACCTTATCCCTATAGTTTGGTACCTGGCTGTGAGTAGGGAATATGACTTGCTTTGCAAATGAATGATTAGTTAGGGGTTTGTGGTCATCATTGGCAAGGAGCTTTGAACAGTTTTTCCTAAGGGTGGTGAACCTTGTGACTGTTCCTTCCCCATGTGTTTGAGTAAAGATGCTGCACCATCAGGGAATAATCTCCTCTCAGCCATTTTCTAAACTGGTCTTCACCATGCAGCACAATTTTAGTGAGCATGGAGGACCAGTTTTCTTCTGAGTACCACATATTACAAAGAATTTGCATGAGCATGTGGAAGATAAAGTACCAGGAGCCAGTTTGTGTCAAGTAGAATTTCCAGTCAAAAGAGAAAAATAAAAAGAAGTGAAGCCAACCTTTGCTAGTATCTTGTATGGGGCAGATTAATTTAATAGTTTAAATGAGAAAAAATTAAATACTGATAATTTCAGAATTTTTAAAGACCTATTTTAATTCTATGTGTTTGAGCATTTGCCTTCATGTGTGTATACGCATCATATGTGTGCCTGGTACCTGCAGAGGCCAGAAGAAGGTACCAGATCCCTGAAACTGGAGTTCCAAGCAGTTATGAGCTGCCGTGTAGATGCTGAGAACTGAACCCCAGTCTTCTTCTAGAGTTGTTAAGCCCTGAGCTATCTGTGCAGCACCAATTTTACAACTAAGTATTTATATGCCACATAAGTAGAGCTTTTACATTTAATTTCTGTTGTTATACTAAGCAGATATTACCATATCCATTTGACATATGAAAAAGGTTAAGTTACTTGTTCAGGGTCATTTTATATTGACTAAAGTTTGAAATTCTGCCACTTATGTGGCACAGAAATCCCCAGAGCTAAAACTTTATATAATCACTTGGACCTTGCTGACTGGTAAAAATTCTCATCATTTATATCGACTACGGAGAGCCTTGTGATGCCTGTGAAGAATGCAAGTACATAGTCTAGAAAACCTTCTTCTCCCAACTCAGACATGACCTGAACTCCTTCTCTTATGTAACAGCATAAAAATATCTCATCTTGGGCCTCTTTAGTGAAAAAGTGTAAATGTCATTGAAGTCTTTACCTTTTAGTAAATTTAAGTGACTTCCAAAACTTGTATCACAGCCCGTTAACATTAAGGTTACAAAGACTACAACTTTGTTAGTTATATATAATGGTTAGACTGTCAACTGGATTAGACTGAAAATGTACTAGGAGATTAGTAAAGTGCAGCTCTAGGTATCCTAGGAGGGTGTTTCCAGAGAGAATTAACTGAGGGAGAAGTCCTGCCCTGAATGTCTTGCCATCCACAACTGGGGCCTAGATAAAAAGGGGTGCCATCAGCACAGGCTTCTCTTCCTGTTTCCTGCCCCCATCGGGGGAGCTGCTCTGCCCCAGCAGACATTCACATGGACTGAAACCTCAGAAACCATGAGCCCAGATAAGTCATTTCCTCTTGATTGTTCACATCAGGTATCCTGTCACAACAAGGAAGAACTGATAGAGAGTGTTTCTCAAGTTCAGCCTTCAGAGTCTGCCATGTAAAGCTGTGGTCTGTCTCTTCATATTTCAGATGGAGCTGGCTGTGGGTCCACTTTGCAGAAGAGTGTCTGATTTGGGAAAGTCCTACCGAATGCTGAGGTCATTCAGGTAAGACCTAACTTTTTGTTATTATATGCCATCTTACTAGCAGGTGCTCCTCCTTTTCTCCTATTCAAGTTAAGCTCTATAAAATTGTCAACATTCATTTCTCCCTATAACAGTGCCAATATGTGATGAATCATCCTAAAAGGTATTGTTTAGAGAACCATCTAGAATTATATGCAGTAACTAATAACATGGGGGTGGGTTCTTTTTGGATTATAACTCACAGGTTGAACTGATGGATACGTTCTTACAGAAATTCCTTATAATATAGGCATGTTTTTTTCTGAAAATTTCATTTATTCATGTATATTTTTAATCCAACCTACTTCTAAAAGTATCATAGAATATAATATAAACAAACACAACTATTGGCTAAAATGGAGCTCGGTGATGAACTTAGGGAATGGAGTAGACAGACAGCTGAGACTGATGCAGTTGAGCCTCTTACTAACCAGCTCAAAAAGAGTAACCGTGAGTTAACCCCAGCACTCGGGAGGAAGAGGCAGGTGGATCTCTGTGAGTTTGAGGCCAGCCTGGTCTACAGAGTAAGTCCTAGAACAGCCAGGGGTACACAGAAAAACCCTGTCTCCAAAAAAAAAAGAAAGAAAGAAAGAAAGAAAGAAAGAAAGAAAGAAAGAAAGAAAGAAAGAAAGAAAGAAAGAAAGAAAGAAAGGAAGAAAGGAAGAAAAAAAGAAAAGAAAAGAAAAAAGAGCAACAGTGAACTAGTTCATACTCATGATGTAATAATATAGCAGTTTAATGAAGGAAGCTGCCCTTTCTATGACTGGACACTTTGTTCTGAAAATATCTAGTAACTTAATGACTTCAGTAGTAGATGTTAGAAGACAGGGTGATATTGTGCATATGGCTGTTTATTCAGTAAACTAGAATTTCCAAATTTTTCATGTAATAGCACAAAGAAAATACTCATAAAAAAATGTAGCCAGTTCTACAGACTGGAAAGATCTACATAATAAACATAACAATTTTGTGAGTATAGCATACTGCATAGAAGGCTTTGACACAAACTAATCAAATGTCCAAAAGCATAATGATCCCTGAGTGTGTTTCTGTAAAATAAGGTGGTATGGGCTATCTGAAAACCTGAGTAA